CCGCAATGATGAGGGCGAATGAATAGTTAAGGAAAGAGGGAAGGTTGACATCACTTTCATATCTAAATTAGAACCCGCATGTCAAGTTAACCTTTCTTTTATGCAACCGTGCCAAACTTATATTTTAATTAGTATTAAGAAGTTTATTGCTAATGACCTAAGGGAGTAGGGGGGGGGGGGGTGGAGCATGGACCTAGCACAGGCTCTTTGCCTTTTTTCTTTTTGCCATATGGCTCATCTTATATTCATTCTTCTCCTATAGATTTCTCTCTTTTAAATTAAAAAATACTCGATACAAAATAGTGTTGTGTGGCAGTAGTGAGTAGCTGGTGGCAGCACTCTTTTTTCTGAACTCTGAATTAAGATATTTCCTGCAAATATCTTTAGAAGGAACACTAGAGCATGGCCCGGCCTGTTGGCCGGGTAAGTTTAATGCTATTGTATAAGCTAAACATTGAGGTAAATATGTCATATGAGCAATTCAAGGTTTGTTGTGTTACAATAGTTTTCCACCTAACATTTGCAATAAGAACATACGATTTGGTTGCCATGAAATATGTCTAATTAATTGACGATGAAACTAAATGGCAGTCCTCTAATGGAACTTAGTGAGTCGGCTTAGTATTTCTCCCACTAAATACCTCACTTGCATTTAAGCATCATATGGTTTATAGATATGGAGTTACATTATATAATTAGGACATATCACTATGTATAATGGTCTTTGATGTGAGACATACCTAAGAACAATATAGTACCTTCCCTATAAGAGAAAAAAAATCTTAGTCTTGATTGATGTGAATGAGACCCCAATAGATACTATTCAACATGAAAACAAAGTGATAGAAACTAAGCGCACATAAAGATATTTATTAGATAAGGGACAACATGCAATGAACAACTTATAAGTTGTGAAGTCATTGAAGTTAAATAAAAACTAATTCATCATATATAGAGAGTGCTGAAATTGTTTTCAGATTCATATAAGTTTGTTGAAGTTAAAGGGATTCATTGAATCAAGTTCGTTGGATACACATATATAAACTCAATGCAAAAAAAAAAAAAAAGATGTATAATTCTTGATGCTTTGGAAAGCAAAATAAAGAGTGTCACATTAAACTTATAACTTAGCTTAGTAGAGAAACCCAATAAGCAAAATAGTCATGTGGCCATTTTAAGAACCATGGACAGCTAATATTGTGTCAAATTACTAAGTTAATGAAGATGAAAGTGAAGGCAAAGGCCAACATTGTTAACAATCTTATGAAATGAACGGTATGAGTTAGGGCCGCCGGCGAGGCGACTGACAGGGCGGGTGAAGGTCGAACGCGCCACAACGGTGGTGTGGGGGAGAAAGAAACATTAGCGATTTGAGAATTGGGACTGAAGTTCAGTGGTTGAGGAGGACACGGAGATAGACAGGGGAAGTTTTGCGTTTTCTCTTTTCCTTCTGCAAAACTGGGTTGATGATGCTCGATTAGGAGACCTGGTTGGCAATTAATGGGAATTAGAGCTTTTCCACCACTTTCCCAGTCGGTCGACGCCCATCACTGTAAAAAAAAGGCAATTGTAGATTTTGCCCATCCTCTCCTGCAAACTGGAAAATTATCGAAGATTCTCAGTCTCTCAGGGGAATATGTTTTAAACGACAATTCTATTGATCAATCCACTACAGCAGAGGTTAAAAGCTCAAGAAAGGTTTAAGGATTGAAGTGCGGAAGAGGTGAAAAGTCCCGGCTGAAGCTGAGGTAAAAAGAACCAGTAGCAGAGGGGTAGGGATTGAAGCGAAGAAGAGGTGGGGAGAAGGGAAAAGGAAATAAAAAACAAAAAGAGAAAGTGATAATTGATTGAAGCCACACAGCGTGGGAGCAAAATAAATAAGTAATACAGGAACAAAACGCAGCGTATAATTACTATGGAAATTACTTTAATGACCTACCGAGAAACGCTCCCGTGGTTGCAATTTTGAAATGGTCGATTCTAGACCCATGAAAACGTATTATATATAGTGTAGATTGGTAACTTGAACCCAAAATTGTAGTGTTGCCGTCCCCAGTAAATATCTTATATATCTTTCCAAAATACAAATTTAAAAATAGCGATTGATAAATGAGAATTCAAATAATTGGAAAAGCCACGGTCCCCAACTCCCCATCCGCTACCACATACTCCGGTACTAGTGTTTTTCTCTTTTATTGAGGCCGAATCATGTTGGTGATGAGGAAACTACAACCATGAATTGAAACTGAATTTGGAAATGAAACCAGTTCATTTCTATATACATATTAAGTTATCACGACAAGTTGTATAACGAACAATTATAATACAGTTCACTAACATGTAAATCTTCTCAGATGAGAGGACAAACAATCTAACTAACTATCATGTATTGTCTTTAAATTAATCATTGATATCATTAGAAGATCGTATTATCAAAAACTTGAAGACATGACCTTTCAACCATCAAAGTTTTGATCACACGTTATGTATAACGTTGCGATTTATTGAGATGACTTGGTACTTTAAGATTAGTAGCTAGGTATTTGATGACTTCAACTTGTAAGGCAATTGCGATATATTGGGAAGAAAGGAAGGGGAAACAAAGTTTTGGGTAGTGCATAGTAATTAAGTTGGTAAATATTTGGGTGATTGTGATTGTGATTGTGAAGAAGAGCATACCAGAGAGAGAGGAATGGAGGGAGGGAGGAGAAAGTGACAAACAACAATGGGAAATCCAGAGAGGGCCTTAACTACTATCTCTGTGGCCGCAGATGTGCATATCGCGCCTTGCTGTAGATCTTAAGGCCCTTCAAATTTGGATGACATAATATAATCTACTACTCCCATTTATATGTTTCATGATTAATTAGGTGATAGTGAGATAATCCAAGTATCGCATTAACGCAATTAGTACAAGGTCGTTTGAAAAGGAACTCAAGAGTAAATTCGTGCAGGTTTGGTTCAAAGCGGACAATATTGAGCTATCCAATTTCGACAAGTGAAATTAGAGTTTGGTTCGGTTTTGATTCGAGGTGGTGGAAGTCGGTTTGGTGGACCCTCATTAGATGACTGCGAGATTTGAGATCCGCGTTTGTTTGGTGAATCAAGAGATATTCACGTTTGTCTGGCAGATCAAAGGAGATTTGCGTTTGAGGAGAGGATTGCTATGGTACAATCCAAGTACACATCGAAAATACAAGGAAAAAGACCCTTGTATATTAGGGTCCACCTAGAGCAATTAGTAATAGGCCATTTGGGGAGGATACCAAAAGTAAATTCATGTGGGCTGGTCCAAAGGGGACAATATCATACTAATGGAACTATTAAGTCTGCCAAAGGTAATATAGCCTAGCAGTGAAACCGTTGGTTTGGTTGGCTCAGGATGTGAGAGGTCATGAGTTCGATCCCCAGCGGCGCCGTTTGCGTGTTCCCGGAGGCATGCCTAAGTGCGGGGGACGAATTCTCCCGATGTTGTGTCTTGTACATGTGCTCCCCAGGTTTAGTAGATCACGCTGTCACAAAGTGGCATGTGGGGTTGAGGTTCCTGAGTTATAAAAAAAACTATTAAGTCTCAACAAGTGGTATCAGAGACTGGATTAGACTGCGGATCCAGGACGATGGGCGTCAGTTTGGTGAGACCCTCATTGGGTGACCTCATGATTTGAGATTTGCTTATGTTTGGCATATCAAAGGAGATCTGTGTCTATCTAGCATATCAATGGGGTTATACATTTGGTAAATCCTTTGGTCGAGGAAAGTGTTGACTGATCAATAATCGCTAAGGAGAGGACACGAAGTTCGTGGTTTTTATCTTGAGAGGAGGATTGTTGTGAGGCAATTAGGGATGGCAATTTTTCCCATACCCATGGGTATTTTACTATCCAACCCAATTGGGTTGGGTATGGATTCCAAATAAATGGTAGATGGGTAGAGTTTGATGGATTTGTACCCATACCCATTTACTTGGGTTGGGTTGGGTTTTTAACACATGATTTTGGGTTTGTACGGGATGGGATTAGGTGCTAACCCTTATAGGGGGTTAGCACCGTGATAACTAGCATAAAACGCTACTAAAAACAACGAAATCACTACGAATTATTATAAAATCAATACAACATCTAAGCTAAATCACTACTAACCCTTAGTTAGGACGGTGCTAACTCTTGTACAATTAGCACCGTAACCATTCCCGGGTTTGTACCCATGCCCAAAGGCAAATTACAGTTTGGTACCTAAACTTAATAGATATGCAGATTTAGTACCTAAATTTAATTTTTTTGCATATAAGTCCTCAAACTATTGATGAAAAATTACGTTTTGGTACCTAAATTTTTTTGGTCTTACATTTTGGTACCTAAACTTTTCGAGTTTTACAAATAGGTCCAATTTTTTTGTGTGTAGTTAAAACACCCTCAAGTAAATGGATATCCATATCCAACTCATACCCATTTACATTATGAAAGCAATATCCATACCTAACCCAAACCCATTTACAAACCCTCAAACTCATATACACTTCATCCAAACCCTACCCATACTAAATGGATCTATTTGGATTTGGGTAAAATTACCCATGGGTAGGTAATTGCCATCCCTAGAGACAATTCAAGTACCACATTGAATATACAAAAAAAAGCCTTTTATATATGTGTTCATCTAGTCCAAATTAGTACGAAATCTTTTAGAGAATATACTTAAAATTAAATCCGGACGAGGTTAACTAGAAAAACAATATCGATCCGTACGAGGTTAACTAGAAAAACAATATCGAGACTGGATTGCTCCATTAGTAAGATATATTCGCAGTCAATGGACCAGACATTTAGGATTGATCTTATTAACAATGAACAAGCTGGGCTTGAACGCTGGACTGGTTTCATACTCCATCTAGTTATCCCGTACGTAAGTCAAGTGGTAGACCGTGGCGCCCACCCACTTCTAAAACGGGCCTCTCCCTCTCGTATCCGATGTGTTCGTTGTGGGGCCACCGTCGACCCGAGTACGTTGTCTGTCAGCCTGTCAGAGAGCTTTGCGTTCGTTTGTAAATTGTAACTCTCTCAATAAATACAGCCGTGCCCGTACGTACGTATGAAAGGTCGAAGAAGAGATTGAGCATGGGAACATTGCTGAAGCACATACCCTTCCCGTCATCCCCCAAAACTGCAGTGTTCGACTCATGTTCTGCTTTGCTGGGCTGGGCCTTGTACTTACCACGCGAAAAGGAATGGGACTCAGGGTAACATAAATTCTTCCATCTGTAACTGCAACGCCGCCCATTCATGTTTTGAGTCTTTTGACAAAACAAAGACGAGCGAAATCATGATCATTTTTAAGTGGACAACTATTCAGTTATTTGTTACTGTAGTTTGTTACCTTTACACGGTTCAATTCAATGACAATTCGTCCAACAAATTAATACCATCCACTTCCAGCGTACATGGCAGCCAAATAGACTCACTAATCTTAGATAGCCCCAAATGGAGGACCTCTCAGGGACACCAACTTCAACATGGCGTCCAGGCGCTCATTCTCTATCTTCTCCCTCAGTTCTAACTTCTGGGTTTCAGGGATTTGCTGTACAAAAGAGATTCCCACAAGGCAATTAGTTCACCTGACGAAACCAAAACAATTAACTACTATAACTAGACATTTTGCTACCTTTGTCAACCATAACATGTAAGATGCTGAACAAATTGCTTGTTCTTCAAAATCTTCAAACTCATCATCACTTCCTTCCGAGCATGAATTGACGAGGAGCAACTCCTTATCCAAAAACACACTGACGTTCACTTGGATGCTAGATTGGCTTTTTTGTGGGGAAGACACGTCGTTGACATCACTTGTGAAATGCCTTATCCATAATAAGGAGAGAAAGCGACGGTAGAGCCATAGAGCCTGTGAACAAAAAGGGATTTGGGGTGGGAGTTAGCTTTGGAGGAAACTCAGGTTACAATGGAAACAAAGTGATCAGAAACAATTCCACAACTACTTCAATTTGCAGAACGCAGTAATCGATTTTCATGTTTGTCAAGATCCCCTATATTCACATATTTTAAATGGGCTTGAGAAAAATACCTCCCTTCCTAAATAACGCTTTATTAATTCTTCATTCCAGTCAAGCTCCTCCTGATAGAAACAGCAGCATCAGAGTTATTAACTCACAAATTGTGCAATCTCGATTAATTACAAAAGAGTTAATAAATGATGGCAGTGAATATGAAAGTTCAGACATTATACCTGCCAGATCAGATAAACTTCAACACAAGAATCACAAGACCCCTCTTCTTGCTTACGGCAGCAATCCTCTAAAATTCTGATGATTAGCCGCTGCAATTAGGTGATAACTCAAACTGTGACAAGATGCTAGAAATGTCATGGAATGAATACTCGTAAAATTATACATAGCTTTCTCTCATGAACTCTCTTTTAAATGTTCAAGGATTGTACTCACCATGCGATAATGAAAGCAAGAATGATCAGCAACATGTAACCCAGCCCACGTTTTGGATTGCTTCAGTTCCTGTATCACCTGGAAAAGCAATTTTTGCTTAAGCTGACAGACAGGACACCTAGATAAAGCAGCTCATAGATGACTGTGAAATGCATCAGCAGGTATGAACCAAAATACCCAAAAAAGTTTTAGAACGAGAATGTATAAACACCAGGAGAAAGTTAAAAAAAAAAGCTGCCCAATTCAAGACAGTGGGCTGAAATTCTTACATACTAGTCATACATGAGGGCCAAGTTGTCATGACGTTATAGATAACAAAACTTGCCCAATCTAAGAAACGAACCTGTTCTCTATCCATGTAAGAAACCAACCAGCAGCGATGATTCCATGCACGATAGTTCATCTTTGATCTCTGCATAGATAGCAAGGCAGAAAAAGTTTAGAGTAGCGGTCAATAGCACACACGCCCAAGAATTAGTAAACCAGAGTTGTGTTCAAAGCCACTAGGATGGAGTGAGAAATGAAAGTCTAACAATACATGCATACACCTAGTCATGTCTGGAAAGATCCCACAATCAAACATGAAATTAATAAACTTCAAAGATGATGCTTTCTTTTTCCCCTTTTCTTTTCCAATTTTTAAAATTTCGTAATGCAATTGTCACGGAAATAGTATGCTTCTTTAGTATTAGAAGTTGTTAAACCTTCATGAATCACTACTATGCAGTTCTTGAAATTAATATAAACCTCTGCTATCTTCTCCACCAGGTCAGATTCTTCCCTCAGAATCTCTTGCAAAGTTGTACGATTTCTGGCCATATTCTTGATCACCCACCTCCTGCCAAAAAGCGAAGGAAAAATGCATAGAAGAAGTTAACAACTCATGCAGTTCAGCAGATAAACAACAACACAGGAAGAGAATCAACTAGTACTTCATAGATGTTACCTATGGCTCCATGCTTGCTCGCTCTTGGGTGAATACGAAAGGACAAGGGCAGACAAGCGGAGCTCGTCAGTGAACATTGACGCTTGTGTCTTCTTCGATACGATTAACTTTCTGTCATTTGCATCAAGAAAAGTCATTCATAAAAATAAAATAAAAACAAGAACAGAGGGGCACATTGGGCATAAACAAGCTGCAACTAGAGGGTTTAAAACACAGGTGCGAATCTACCATTTCCGGATCATGATGATTCAAATCAACCAGACCCGTATAAATATAGAAAATTTCAAATTGGTTACCTGGAATTCCAAGCAGCCCCGAAATCAGGGCTTAACAACACAAGTGCTTTGCTGCATTTCATAACCACAATTCCTAGAGCTTCAGCAGAAGGAAGAGATAGGTCGCCGAGTTTCTTGTATTCTGCAATTGCATTCATGAATTGTTCTCTGGCAGCCTTGTACAACCGGAGAACAACCTCCGAAGAAATGCCCAGTTTGTGATCTCGAATCCAGAAGCTCCCATCTCCACCATCCAGCGCATCCGAGGCTTCCGATCGTGAGCTACCAGCTTCAGGATCTTTCTCCAATGTCGCAAATTGCGAAGGGTGAATGAACCCTACTTCGTTGCTGAGCACGAAGGAGCACCAAAGCAGCCGGGGAAAAAAAATTGAACATAGGGTTGAGCGAATAAATTGAACGAAGGGGAAACTTCCTGAATCGAATTTGATGACGGTGCTTACATGAGGGGATCGGAATCGAGAATGTATTCGAATTGATTCAACAATTCCGACATGGCTTCATTCTGAATAGTACCTTCAGGCTTCATTCATTCATCAGAAAACCACTGTTTCCTTCCCCTCAACCACAAATCGAAAACCAAAGAAATTCACCAGAACCCTCGCATCTCCCATCGTCCGTCGCCGGCGAGATTTTCGCAGGCCAACTCTGTTGTCATCTTTCCTCGTGGTCAAAACCACCTAAACACAATCGATTAAAATCGATAGCCACCCCTAATACCAGAAAATCCCACATGCAAAACTAAAACTCCTACCTTTGTCGTCGCTTATCATCGTCGGCGTTACTCGCCGTCGTTTCTCGCCACTGCCGCTGCCGTCATTGTCCCGCTTTTCTTCCCTTCTCGTCGTTAGCAGAAAAGAAGAGAGGGATATGGTGGTTCGATTTGAGAGGGATCTCGTTTTAAAACCCAGGTTTTTAATTTGAGAGATTTGTGTGGGATTTGCGTCGAATTATTCGTTTGGCTACAAATATGGCATTCTGAAATGAGAATGTAAAATCACATAATTACCCTTATTTAGTCTCCTATTTTGTCTAACCCGTAGGCAACAACTCAAGCATCCTGGTTGAATGAATGTAATGCAGACCATTTGCAGTAAATATTAATATGCAGGTTATTGCTTCTTTATAGTTAAGGAAGACAGTTAAACAAAGTGCAGATGATACCCCAACCGTGATACCAAAAAGAACTGGAATCGACAAGGATCAAGAAATTGAAAATGAACATGGTTATTCTTTTGGTAGTTTTATACACTGCAACCTTAACAGATTGACAGATTAAAATCAGATTGGCAGCAACCTTGAACAAAGTGCAGATGAACATGGTTCTTTTTGGCAGTTTTATACACTGCAACCTTAAACAAATTGACAGATTAAGATCATATTGGCAGCAACATTATACAGTCAAACAGCCAGTCAGCCACCAATCATGTTCAATCACATTGGAATCATAATCCCTTCAAACAAACCTTGCCTACAAGCTGAGATTGCTTAATCTAATAACTGTTCTCAACCTAGCAGCCCTCTCACAAACATTATCTTGTCTAATATGTCTTCAAAATGGTAGAACTTCATCAAGGACACGAAAATTGTAGTTTGAAGAACATATATATGTGCATTGTAGTATTGTTGCGGTATGAAAACTTAGGTTGGTAGAACTGTATTCACTACGGTTGAACCACTCACAACCAAGCTTACAAGGCCATGAAGGTTGCGGCAATTCTGCCAAGTAATCAACTTTCCTAATATGTTTGACTGGACAAAGTAAGTCATGAAAGCTTTAAAACCCTCAAAACACAAATCTATTTCTGCTCTCCTTCGCCAAACACCAACAAAGCAAGCCATAAAACCCAGAACTCAAAAGATTGCGAGTGAGACGAAGGCATCACACCAAAACAAGCCAAGGAGGAAGAACGGAGAAAATGGATTTCGCAAACTCACCTGCCGGAGAGTTTTTGCTGCTCGCTAATGCTCTCCGGAGCAGAGTTTTTGCTGCAGCCTGCAAATTTCCTACCCTCCGAAGCTGAGTCGCCGCCGGTTAGCACTCCTCGACAGCAGCTGTTTTGTCTTTCCGCTCCTTCGTTTGGGTTGCAGTAAAACAGAACGAAGGGTTCTGCGAATGGATACAGAGACAGACAGTAATTGAAGGGTTAATAGAAAGAAGGGTTAAGTTGGATTTTCAGAAAATATGCATGTACATATATGGAACAAATTGGCAATGGGTTAAAGACACATTTGGTCACTGAGATTACAAAATCGGGACATGTTTAGTCACTAGAAAAATTTAATATCAAATTTGGTCACTACAATTACTAAAACTGGACGCATTTAGTCACTCGCCGTTAGTCTCCGTCCAACTCCGTTAATGAAGTCCGTTAAGTGCTGATGTGGCAAACAGAATTGCCTAATCAGCCGGATATTAACCCAACAAAAATAAAACCCGACCCGCCACGTCATTATTACCCGCCACCTCATTAAAACCAACCCAACCCAACCCAACCCATCACCCAACCCTACCCAACCCTTCTTCCTCCTTCCTCCCCAACCCAATTTAGGGATTCTATTCGGAGATCCCCTGCCGCCGTCGCCACTCTCTCCGCCCTGTTGATTTTCATCCTTGAACAAATCCTCCCTGAATCTTTTCCGGTAATTCTCCCTTGAATTCGCCGCTCCACCGCCGCCGCTATCTCCGCCGCTGGCGCTCGGCAGAGCCTCCGCGATTTGATCCGCCGACGACAACATATGCTGCTGGTGGTGGTGGAATCCCAGATGCGCGGCGGAAAACCGTTCCTCGTAATGCTGCTGCTGCTGCGCCGCCGCCAGAGCAAGCGCCCCGTGAAACGAATGCAGCGGCGCCGATTTCGACGGCGGAGCGGAGAGAGTTGATCCGCTGCTCCGCAGCGAGACATTCAGGGTGGAGAAATTGGCCAGGATGGTGCCCGTCCCCGTCGCCGCGATAATCGCCGGCTCCGCCTGCTGCAGCAGCCACTCGATCGTCTCCCCGTCCGATTTGCGACCCAATTCCCTCGTCAATTGGAAAACCCTCGCCGCGCAGGCGGCCGGCATCCGATCGAAGGCACCTCACGCACATGTTGGCCGCGTTCGGCTGCATTCTGATGCCGCATCTGCAGCAGAGCACCGTACCAATCGTCTGTTGGACATTGAACATCCCTTTATCTTCATCCATCGCGGACGATCCTCTGCTCAAACACACAACGGAAAACAAGCACACACCCACAACGCTTAGTTCTCCAAGCTCGATTAAACCCTAAAACACAGTAAGTTGCAGAAAATGAAAAATCGCCTCCTCCCTCAATCAAAACCCCTCTCCACCGTATCAGCGATGAAACCCAATCGAGGGGGATTTCATCAAGACTCAGAAAAACTTCAATCGTTCCGCAAAGTAATTGAAATAGCATAACGGGGAAACAAGGAAATCGAACATGAAAGCATACCGAGTCCGAATCCGTGGAACATAACCAGATGAATCGAAAAAGACCAAGATTTCACGCACCTCGAAGCTTGAATCGGCGTCGGAGGAAATCAAGAGGCAGAGAGGAAGAGGGGGGAGGTGAACAAGAAGAAGAAGAAGGAGAGCAAGAGTAGCTTCCTGAATCTTCACCACCGAGCTCCGAGCCGGCACCGCCACATTCCTCAAGAAGATGAAGGAAGGGCGGCCGGCAGATTAATGGGGAAAACTCTAAATTGGGTTGGGGAGGAAGGAGGAAGAAGGGTTGGGTAGGGTTGGGTGATGGGTTGGGTTGGTTTTAATGAGGTGGCGGGTTATAATGACGTGGCGGGTCGGGTTTTATTTTTGTTGGGTTAATATCCGGCTGATTAGGCAATTCTGTTTGCCACATCAACACTTAACGGACTTCATTAACGGAGTTGGACGGAGACTAACGGCGAGTGACTAAATGCGTCCAGTTTTAGTAATTGTAGTGACCAAATTTGATATTAAATTTTTCTAGTGACTAAACATGTCCCGATTTTGTAATCTCAGTGACCAAATGTGTCTTTAACCCAATTGGCAATATATTGATTTCAAAATAGTTTATGGTCATCGGCTATTTCACAATTCCACATATGAGTTTCTGAAATTCGGAATGGTTAAAATTTCTTATAAAAAACAGTTCACCAAACGAATGATTTTAATTAAATTTCCTCATTCTGAGGGACTATGCCCAAATCACTCAAACAAAATCCTTATCCAAACGACCTCGTAGCAGGATTGTGTACGTGTGTTTCTTTCTTGGTTGTTTCAGAGAGAAAAAAGAGAACGATTGAAAGAGAGACGAGGAAGAAGGTTGAGAGTAGAGGCGGCTCCGGCTCGGTTTAGCATAGACCAGGAAACCGGATCGTACCGGCCGGTTCAACCGGTTCAACCGGAAATTGGACCAAAAGCGGTACGGTGGGCTTATTGTGCTGATTTTACCGTACCGGCCGGTTTTTCGGTTTGACCTGTTGAACCGGTTGAACCGACCGGTATGATCCGGTTTCCTGGTCTATGATTCAGCTTCA